GGTATAAAAATGAAGAAAGGCAAAGCAAGGTTATAAAAATTCCTGTTCACTTGAGATATTTGCATATAAGCAATCAATACTTCTACCTCGGGGCTGGAGATATGGCTGAGGCGGTGGCGCGCTCGCCTGGCATGCGTTCGGCCCGGGTTCGATCCTCAGCACCACATACAAACAAAGATGTTGTGTCCGCCGAGAACTAAAAATAAATATTAAAAATTCTCTCTCTCTCTCTCCTCTCTCACTCTCTCTTTAAAAAAAAAAATACTTCTACCTCCCAAATAATGGAATAGAATATGCTTGTACCATTCACGATACAATTTTGGAATTCATAAAATTGATATAATTTAATTCATAGTGCCTGGGGGGACTATGAACTATGGGACACAACCTCTAAGATGCATGGAGGAAGTTTTCTTTTCTTCAGACCTGTCAGTGTGTCTMTGTAACTGCAAATATAACCTTTCTTGAAAATAATATTAAAGATCTAAATTTATAGCTCCTTCAGGCAATGTCAAAAACAAACTGCAAAAGTTCAGGGGCAGAAAATAACTGTGAAGGCATGAAATACTTACATATTTGAGTAACTCTGAATTTGTAGTTAAAACAAAGACTGGAAATGCTGGGGAGTGTTCTAAGTGGTATGTGGGTGGCAGTATAAAATTTTACAGCAAAATTTTGGTGTTGTTATCCCATTGCACAGATGGAGAAAAAATGCAGAGAGATTAAGTGACTCGCCCTAGGTCACACATAGAATCAGAAATTCACACTAAAGGAGCAAGGCTCCAGAGGTCACACCCTTAACCATTTGATACAGAGCCTCTAAAGAGCAGTACGGTGTAGTGCTGAGGGTATAGGTGCTAAAGTCAGACAGACAGTTCATGGTTTTATTTTGTTGTTGTTGTTTTGTTTTGGTTTTAGTTTTGGTACTGGGAATTGAACCCAGGGGCAGTTTACCACTAATCCACATCCCAAGCCCTTTTAATTTTTTTTTTTTTTTTTATTTTGAGACAGGGTCTTGTTAAGTTACTTAGGGCCTCACTAAGTTGCTGAGACTGGCTCTGAATTTGCGATCCTCCTGTCTCGGCCTCCCAGGTTGCTGTGATTACAGGCATGTGCCATCCGGAGCCCTTGAGTTCCTTACCTTATCTAAAGCCAGTGTGCTCTACTGCAATATGAGCACAGTGGTCCCCCTATGGCAAGCGAGGGCATGTTGGGATCTGAGAACAAGCCCTGGGTTACACAGCAAGGATTCAGTCATCACAGCTGTGCTGAGCTCAGCTCCTGCATCCCCAGATTAATTAAAAATAAAAACAAAAACAAGGGTCAGAGACAGCAGGTGGGTTGGTCACGGCCACACAGCAAACTAGTTATGGGCCTCAGGACACAAGGTCCTTTGCAYATCACCAGCAGCTCTAAAGCAATTGATCCAATCTCGTCCACGCTGTCCCCTAACAACATCTTTCTCAAGTTGCTCCTTCCAGGACTCCAGATAGGCTTCTGCTGACTTGCAGGGCCATGCCGCCACCCTCAGTGGTCATGTGCCAAAGTGAGTAAAGCAGGAAGGAGCAAGGGCAGAAGCCACAGAACAAAAGGAGCCAGAAACCCCCATAGAGATCCAGGCATAGTCTTGGAGTGTCCACTAGGTGGAGCCACACTCGAGCATGAGAGAGAGAGAGAGAGARWGRRWGARWRTGKRTGWATGTGTGTGTTTCCATGTTTCAAATGAAGAACATGAATCTGTCCTGTGAGGGATTGAGAGTTTCACTCACCCACTCATCCACCCATCCATTCATTCATTAAATATTCACTGAGCATGGGAATATGTACACCCCAGGCATGTGAGCTTGTAAGCGCTGTAATTTCAGTCTGGCAACTTCTCTGCTTCTGTGAGGCATCTCCCAGCAACTCCACGATTCCTTATCCAGCATTAACAAGGGTCCAGAGATACTATTCTTCCCTCTCTCCTCAAATATTTATGTGGCCTGGACTCTCTGCCACCACCTAAGGATGCTAGAATCGACAAGATGGTGAAGACAAACGTGTGACCCAGGTCAACTTGGCCTGATCTGCAGGAGGAGTGCTGTCGAGGAAGCTGGACTGCAGGAGTCCAGAAATCCTGCTCAGGAYCCTTTGAAATAAAGGCAAGGCCTTTCTCACTTTGGCCTCAAAGGAGAGATCAGAAGTTCTGTCCAGTMGGTTGTTTCTCTGCAGACTGTAAATGATGTGGTCCATGTCCCTTGAGAAATATCTCTGATGCCACCTAGGTGGGGTTTGAGATGACGACACTGTGACTGAGTTCATTTTATCTGTGGCTTTGGGTGAAGCCTTCACTTTTCCCTGGGCACACAGTTCTGTGTCTTCCTTTCCAAAAGAGGCTGCTCAGGTGTGGAAGGAACCACCCGGGACTGAAGGGGGAGATACTAAGCTCTGTCACCCATTTTGACACTTACATGATGTGTGGCCTTAATAAGTTACTTCCTTTTTATGGGTCTCATTCTTCTCATCTGTAGTATGAAGCCCCAGATGCTTTACAGAAACTTCCATCAGGAGATGGCATCTCTCCCCACACTTGCCTTGATCCTACCCTGGCCCACTCTAGCCCAAGTTGCCAAGAGGCACAGAGAGAAGCAGAAGTAAATGCAAGTGCTTTCAGCTGCAGGCCTGAAGTTGCTGAAGGCTTGAAATTAAGCTAACATATTGGAGGACAGTAGAAATATGGAAGAGAGGTCAAAGCTTGATGACAATGGTCTAAGCCTCTGGCTCCAGATCTGTCTGAAGCCATTTATGTCATTAGATTCTTGAGTCATCCTAGCATAAAAATTCCATTTCTTGCTGAAAGCAATTAGAGTTAGGTTATCTGTCACTTGCATCCAAGAAAATGAGTGAATGAACTGACAAGCAACTCTACCAGAAAACTTGTATGGCATAAAGGAAAGGAGGGTCCTAGACTAGGACTCAGTGTCTTGCCCTTACTTTGTGATGCTAGGCACATTTCCTAATGTCTGTGAACTTCAGTTTAGAATTCTGACTCATTCATTTTTTTTGGCAAATACTTATTGGCATTTGCTGTGCCAGGCACTCTGTTAGGTATTGGCAATGCTGTGGCTGAGATCCTCATGGTTCTTACTCTTGCAAAATTAAGCCCAGTTCTGGAATAATAAAGTTTCCATTTGGTATTCCTGATTTGTCACCGGTAATGACATGGTATGAGGCTCTAGCACTTGGAAATTGGTAGTTGTTAGTATTCCTTCAACTCTGTATTAGGTGATATTGTAGAGTTAGCTAGAGAGCGGGCAAGAAATAGGGCGTAGTACAATGGGAAGGAGAGTACTACAGACTTCACTGCCTTCCCAGAACTCAAGGTTAGTTGTTAATAATGCTGACGAACCTAATTACACACATCACTGAGCTAGAAGGTGTACAAGAGCCTGGCATGGACCTAGGTTCAATCCTCTGGGACTTTTAACTCTTTAGAATAGCCATCATACTACCAAGCATATTTTTTTTCTGACCTCTGGCAAAGAGACTTTCAGCGTTAAATAAGCTCATCAGTTCCCAAGAATAAGTGTTAGTAATAGAGGTACTTTGGCTCTTGTTAATTCTTGTTATAAAGAATTAATTAGAGGAGAGGAGAGGGGGCATGGAGTCAGGAAAGATAGCGGAATGAGATGGACATCATTACCCTAGGTACATATAGGACTGCACATATGGTGTGACGCTGCATCGTGTAAAACTAGAGAAATGAAAAGTTGTGCTGTATTTGTGTACAATGAATCAAAATGCATTCTGCTGTCATACATATTCTAATTAGAATAAATGAATAAAGAAAGAAAAGAAAAATACATGGGATAGGCGAGATATTGGGTTTGACCATTTCTGGCAACTTTACCCCAAAACAAACATATTCAATATAGAAAAATTAATTCCTTAAGGAAAATTAAAACTGGTTTGCTTTATTGGGGTGGAAAACAAGGCAAAAGAAGAACATCCCACACCACCCTAAAATAGTCATGGTATTCATAAATTTCAACAACTTTGCATGCTATGAATAAAGTTACATATAGAAAAAAAGAATTAATTATGCCAGCTGCATTTGGATTTTCATTTTCTTTTACTGGACTTATTACATTCTGCCACTTTAGTCCAGTAAAAGACAGTAGGTTTGGCAGGCCTCAAGTGACCACAATCCTAGTCCACCTTCTATTCTTTAATTTACTCGTTTTTATTAAACATTTATCAAGTGCCCAATAGGCACTGGGCTGAGTGCAGCTCAAAGAAGTCAGGATCTGGCCATACTGGAGCAGCAGGTGGCTCATAACTAAGCAATCCCCAAGGGCACTGACCCAGAGTCTCCAATACTCAAACACAAGCCCATTTCCAAATGCCAGGTGGGCCCACCTGAGTAAGCCTAGACAGACGTTAATAAGCCCACCTCTAGGAATAAATCCGTTTATGTACTTTTCCCTAAATATAGCCCGGTTCTTGCCTGTTCATCACTCTTGCTGCATTTAAAAAAAAAATTCAAACTTAATGCTGCTAAACTGGTACACTTAAAAATGGTCAAAATGGTACCGTATACTTAGAATATAACAGGTGCTAAATGTTTTAAGGTGAGACAGTTACATTCAAGAATATGATGAAGGGCTCCGGGTGAGGCAGGGGAGACTGCTCGGCCCGGGATCTGACCCCAGCACCAAAAAGGAAAGCCACACACCTCCCTCTGTGCCGCCCTCTGTGACCAGAGGTCAACGGAACGGCAGGGAAATACCTAAAGGTGGGTGGCATTTTGTCTCTGATTAACCCTGCAGTTCTAAATATTTTCTTTGATCCCAAGAAGTCCGCAGATGTCGCCACAAGCCGGACAGCGGTGAAACACCCTTCACCCCGCTGGACACACAGCAGCACGCCACACGGCCACGCCCCGCGGGGCCTGCCCCTACCTTCCCCCTCCCTTTTGCCTTCGGCGCCCGCGAATGACGTCAGTCGCGGGCGCTGCCGCTAGTGCCCGCGCCTGCGCTCTGCCTGCGGCGGCCTCGCGAACTTGCGAGCCTCGGTGCGGCGCGCCACCTTCCCCTGCGGCCCGGGTCTTTAACTTGAGACGCCCTTGAGCTGAGGACCATGAACCGCAGCCGCCAGGTGACGTGCGTGGCCTGGGTCCGCTGCGGCGTGGCCAAAGAGACGCCTGACAAGGTGAGGCCTGGTCGCTCCGAGATCGCGGGGAGCGGCTTGCCGGGTCAGTGCGGCCTGGGGACCCCGCACCGGCTCTGGCCAGGCTGGTGTGACGGGACCGGCCGAGGCCGGCTTTGGYTTGGTGGCGGTGACAAGAGCCGTGGCTCGGTCGGCCCGGGTTTCCTGGGCCTGCCTGGACCTTGCTCCTCCGGGCGGGTGGGTCCAAGCCCAGCCACACCCCCAAATTCCCGGCACTGGGACCTCGCGGAATGGAAAGGGGCGGGGTGCTGCTTCGGGTGCGAGGTGGCGCCCAACGCTGATTGACAGCAGCTGCACTCCCACCCCAGGGCACTTTCAGGCGGAACCGGGAAGGGAGCACCTGTGACCCGACGCCACTTTGCACTCCCGTGCTTTGTGCTTGGAGGAGTGAGGATGGAGTCAAATTAGGAATTCCTTGAATTAACCCAAATGAGGTGCTGATGGGGCGGTGGGGATGAGGAGTGAACGTGACCCACGAATGAAAAGCCGACAGGAGCGCACACTGAGACTGTAGCGCACATGAAAATTACTTAAGATAGCCATCACATACATACTGAGTGCTTTCTGCAGGCCAGGCCTTGTCCAGGATCCCGAGAAAAGGCCCTGCCTTTATGGACTTAATATGTGCGTTTATTGTATGTCAGTGGAAATAGGTTGTAAAACGGGTCGTTTTGAATGTAATTGGGCCAAGCCAATGATGACAGGTTGGGAAAATGATAGGAACGTGAGTGGCTTGGACAAGGARTGCACAAGAGGAAGGGGTTGGAATAGTCCTAATAGATGTACATTCCACCAGAGCAAGGGCTGTTTTACTCACTTTTTCTCAGGTGTTTGGCTTGCAGCAGACATTCAATACATATTTATAGCATGGGGACAGAAAATTATCTCGTTAAAATTTGTTAAACAAGGAAACAGTTCTTATTAAAGGGAGACATACAGACTTTCAAATTCTTGAAGATGGTGATTTTCAAATGAGCCTACACATTGGAAACACTTGGGGAACGTCACATATTACCGAGGTCCCACTCTAAAGTATTGAGATTAAGTATGGCCTGAAATATTTATTTGTTTGTTTTTGTGAACTCAGGGCCTCACACACACTAGGCAAATGCTGTACCACTAAGCCATAACTCAGCACATGGCCTGAAATTTCTAAAGGTCCCCCAGGTGATTCTCTGTTGCAGACAAATTTGAAGAGTTTATAGAAGGAAGTAGTTGAATTCTGTGAAATCCACAAAAGGAAAAATTACACAAATAACTATTTTTTAATTAAACTTAATTGTTTTCTGGAGCTATCCCACAGTGGAATGCCGTTCTCAAAGGCTTTTTTTGTAGAAACTGGGTGATTGATTGGATTCATCATCAGTTGTTAAGCATCACCACATGGGCCACTGAACTATGTACTTAGATATACAATGACATGTCAGCCTCCCTCTTCAAGGAGCTTGTAGTTTGGTAGTGTTCTGTGTATTTTAAAGGTACTAAAGCACTGCTAAGGTGAGGGAATGCCAGTTTCAAAGTAAAGAGAGTGACCTGAGTTTTGAACTCTTATTAGGGTAAAGGCTATCCAGGTAGGAAGTCTGGACCATTTTAGTGGGAAAGGATCTTGATTATAAGGACCTGTAAAAACTATTAATGTTAAATTGAAAGAGGCTGGATTGATGTTTGGTTCTCATCTTGATGATGTCTCTTGAAGTTTTACATTGTTCACAAACTTATTAATTCAAAGACATCTAACGATTTCCTTAAATATGTTATAATGAAATGCTTTCTCCCTTATAGGTAGAGTTAAGTAAAGATGAAGTAAAGCGTCTCATTGCTGAAGCAAAGGAAAAGCTACAGTAAGTAGCTTCAAGAATGTTGCTATTTGTGATCAAATCCAGAAGAGATGTGCACTTTAAAAAATAACTTAATGTTCTTGTTATTGGACAGTGCCATTTGGGTGATTGCTTTTTTCTTTTTGTTCTCATAGAGAAGAAGGTGGTAGTGAGGAAGAGGAAATAGGCAATCCTTCAGAAGATGGCATGCAGAGCGCCCGCACCCAGGCACGACCAAGGGAACCCCTAGAGGATGGTGACCCAGAGGATGACCGCACCCTAGATGATGACGAGCTGGCTGAGTACGACCTAGATAAATACGATGAGGACGGTGACCCAGGTGAGAAATCAGTCACTGCTGCTGTTTATACTCTATGGGCACAGTGCTCTCTACCATGCTTGTGGTATTCCAAAGCATTACTCCAAGTTTTATTATCCCTGACTTCAATTAAATAATCTGGTCCAAGATTTAGACAGAATGTTTTTAAACTAGTTTAGAAGATAAGCTCTAATCCACTGGTCTAAGGTATAAATCTAAGATCTTTAAAAAAAAAAAAAAAGCATCATATATTTTCTTGCTTAAATTAGGTATATTAATCTGTAACCGGGCTGGGGATGTGGCTCAAGCGGTATCGCGCTCGCCTGGCATGCGTGCGGCCCGGGTTCGATCCTCAGCACCACATACCAACAAAGATGTTGTGTCCRCYGAGAACTAAAAAATAAATATTAAAAAAATTCTCTCTCTCTATCCCTCTCTCTCCTCTCTCAATCTCTCTTTAAAAAAAAAAAAAAAAGAAAGGGGTTGCCAAGCTTCCTCAAAACTACGAGTTTCCTGAAATCTCAGCAAACATTTAAAAAAAAAAAAAAATCTGTAACCCATTTGTGAGTTCTTGTATGTGGTTATAATGTACTTGAACGTATCTCTTTATACCTTTTCCTCAACTGCATTGACTTTTTTCACAATATGTGCATGTTGAGACAATGTTATGGGAGATGATTTAAAATTTTTTAAGAGAAGAGAAAAAGGAGAGCAGAAGAGCAGTTCAGGGGGAAATAAAGTGAACTGAGAAGACATAAACAACTTTATTGCTCTCTTTGGAAAGGAAGTGTGAATGTGTATGTAAAAGGAGCCAGTGGAAGCTGTGACACCGTGCTATGGTGGTCTTCTGGTCTGCTGYCCTGCTTGGCACTAACACCAGATCTTGAGGGTTGAGAAATAAGCATCGTGTTTGGTCCATGACTTAATACTTTTACTTATTTAATTTCTAAAATCCCAGTTGCTCTGCATTTTGGGACTCTGACAGAATCAGCAACTCCCAAGTTAGAAAATCAGAAAGACATAAATGASCCAACACATAAAAAATCAGTTCAATATGAATGTTACCTGCAGCAAAGCAAAATCACTACCATTTCATGATTACAGAGGAACAACTATTGAAGGATTTCTAATGAGTAAACAAAAGTTGGTCCTTATATGATGTACAATATGTAAAATCCCAAAGATGATACCATTTTGATTTAATGTATGCTTCCTATTTGGTACTTTTTAAACTCTGATCCCCTTTCCTTATAAGTTTTTACCTTCCTTAGCTTGGCTTTGTCAATAGCTGGGTGGGAAGGGAATATAAGTAATACTCTGACAAAGTGTCATGCTAAGTGACACTGAGGAGAGTCAAATAATCTCTGTTTCTCTTCCTCAGAGTCTGGATTTGTGCAACAATTCAGTGACCCAGTATAAAGTTTTATCAGTTTTATTAAATATCTAATCTTATGCTAGATCTTCTTGGGATGATAAAATACATTTAACATAGTACATTAAAAAATTTCATAGCCATTATAATCAGGCACCAGAAATCACCCCTATTGGTGAGAAGTTCACATTGAAAAGTCAAGTAAAATAATATGCTCTCTAGAATTTGCTCTAAAAAACCCCAGAGATTGGGGTGTGGGTAGGGAGAACGGGTAGAAGAAACAACAGTGAGAAAATATTGTTAATTGTCAAAGCTGGGGAATATGCCCTAGGGTTTTTTTTTTTTTTTTTTAAATGCGCTCTCTCCTTTTGTTCCTGCTTGGAAATTTCTATAATGYCAAGTTTTTTGTTTTAATTGGGCACATATGAGTTAATGGAGAACACTCTAGGGTGCCCAGAGGGCAGTTAGCATGGTGGAGTGCTCGAAGAATAGGACCTGGAGATGGGGTCTGTGCTGGGCGCAGGAAGATCAGTAAAGAGGGCAGGTTAGRGAGAAATGAGGAAGTAGGTTCTGGAGAAGATGGAATTGAGTAAAGCAGTGAGTGAAATTTGGTAGACTTGGTCTGGTCCCTCAAACGGGACATGTTCAAATACTGTAGGTAACGTTGTGGAGGTAGATGTTAACCTAAGGAAAGGAAAATTTAGTGCAGTGGGGCAAACTGTAGAGAGCCTGTAGTGTCGCAGCAGGGCTGAGCTTGGAAAGTGATTGATGGGGAGAAGAAACGGCTTGAATAAAGACMCACCGTGGGGGAAACACTGGTAAGTCCATCTGTGTGAGTGAAGATGCAGGAGGTGCGTGGGGAGTTGGTGAAAAGTCTGGAGCGACCAGTTGGGTCTTGGCTTGAATGCCAGGCTTAGGAATCGCTGTTCAGGGGATCACTGAAGGTCTTTGAGCACAGGGTGCAGGACAGCTTGGTATGAATCTTGGGGAGTTGCCTGAGGCAGCAGTGGAGAGAGTTGGGAAAYGGGGTGAGTCTCTCCCAGGAGAAGCAAGGAACTTCAAGATAAATTAGGTCAGGGGACCTGGTCTGATCACGAGGAATGAGGGGGAAGAAATGGAGGAAAGAATTGTAGAGGCAGCTGGGAATTTGGTATCAGTCCTGTGGGTCGCTTTCTGTCAGAATTGGTCCCCTATGTCAGTCTTACTGCTGGTGTACCCCTTTTCCTTAAGATAAGTAACCCTGTCTTACTCCATCTGTGTCAGATTCTATTGTCATTTATCCCTTTTTCCCGTCTAGATGCTCATTCCTCCTTATTCCTCATCCCCTAGCCTTGTGTCCTGTGCACTGCTGTTTACCTCATTTTTAAATACAGAATATCACCTCCATCCACCAGTGTCACCCAGTGCCGGGGAAGGTGGTGCTAAGGTTTGGACAYTCTGGCTCTAAAGCCTTCATTTTTTTTCAGTGTGTTCCTCTTGGTGTGACCCATCAGCCTTGGGTTGTGGGCCCCACCTCGTTAAGGACATGGTGCTATGGGAAGACCCGTCGGTCCTATCTTCTTAAAGTAGCTTCCCTAACAATGAGTGTGTCTTCCTTATCCTGAGTTTTATGTCACTSTGGGTCCACTCTATGTTATATTTGTAGATGTGCATAAAAGAGTGATTCCATTTTCAAGTCAGTTTAGTGAAAAGGGCATATAGCATTTTTTTCCCAGATTCATGAGGCACAATAGCATGTCAACAGTTCTGAGAATACTTGCACTACAGCAGCTGCTTACTCTGAAGCCATCGTTTCTCAGTTTTGACCAGACAGCCCTTATTTATTCTGTGTTGATTTTAGTGTTTCAGGGCAATTTATTTCCAGGTCCTCAAAACTACCATTCTGTAGCTCCTTGAATTATGATTGCACCGAGCAAGCTAGAGAGTCTGAGCACAGTTCTAATATTTTATAAAAGGGGCGGGGGGTCTTTTTGTTGGTTGGTTGGTGTGGTACTGGGAATTGAACATAGAACCTTGCACATGTTAGTCAAAAGCTCTACTACTGAGCCACACCCCAGCCCTTTTGATTTTTTAAGACATGRTCTTAGTAAGTTGGCTTAGGCTAGCCTCAAATTTGTGATCCTCCTACCTCAGCCTCCCAAGTAGCTGAGATTACAGGGTGTACCACCATGTCCAGCAGATTTAATTCTTTAATTCTTTCATTGGAAGATTGTGAATCCCAAGACTATCAGAAACGTACTCCAAATCRGGTAGAGAGAGGGGAGGGGAGGGGAGGGGGGATAGGAAGAGCAGCTGAATACAACAGACACTAGTATTGCTGTATATATAAATGTGGCTGTATAACCAATGTGATCCTGCAATCTGTACACGTAGAAAAAGAATTCATACCCCATTTGAATCAAATGTATGATATGTCAAGATCATTGTATTATCTTGAGCAACCAATATATATATATATATATAAATGGATTTTAAAATTCCTGCAGTTTCCTTTCTGTACTATGGATAATGTGTAGTTAGTATAAAATTGGGTCTAAGTCCACAGATGGATGTCTTCAGAAAACTGTTTTTGTCAAGATGACCATTTTACTCATTTTGATGAATTCCTTTAGATGCTGAGACGCTTGGTGAATCTCTCCTGGGTCTTACAGTCTATGGGAGTAATGATCAAGATCCTTATGTTACTCTGAAAGATACGGTAAATTTTAACATCACTTTTCTAATTGTGCTCTTGAGTGTCTGAGAAACCTCACTGGATCTCTCCTTTAGCCATTGACTATTTTTTTCTGCCCACTTAGGAACAATATGAGCGTGAAGATTTCTTGATTAAGCCCAGTGACAATCTCATAGTTTGTGGCAGAGCTGAACAGGAACAATGCAATTTAGAGGTACATGGTAAGTGAAATAAGTCCTCTACTAAGAGGTTTTATAAGTAATATTAAAATAACTGTTATAGTTACTGTTATGAAGTCTTAAGTGCTAAATTCTGCTGTACCTCATTTGAGTTAGTTACAGAGTTAAATTACTTGTCCTTTTCCTGGTGGTGTTCTGGGCAATGTGTAGTCTGAGCTGTCACTTTSGTACCTTTGTATTTTTAGTGGAAATTGGTCCCTAGAAAGTTCTAATAGGGGTTTTTAATCTTTCATGTCAATATGTTCACCAGTTTTTTACTTTTCCCCCTTCCCAAGGTAGACATGGCAGCAAAAAAACTTACAAAAGTAACAGAATTTTCTGATCCCATTACCCTGAGRTAACCACTTGCTACCCTGGGTTTTTATTCTTGCCCATCATGGCCCAGACGTTTTTATGTGATTACAATTATGCTGGACAGACAGATCTTTATCCTGCTTTTTTCAGAGTTGTTTCAGATATTCGCCTTTGTGAAACACTTTATTTTCTGCATARTAATTCAACAAAGAGAGCCGTAGTTCTCTTTTGGAACAAAAATTTCTTGCTCACCTTCCCAGTTCAGAAATGTTTATACCAAAGCCAGAGGCAAATGTTCTCCAGTATTCTGAAGTACACAGTGATATGAAGTTTTAAATCAGATGTGGTTTTGTTTTGTTTTCTGCAATACTGGGTATTGAACCAGGTATTAGGCTTGCTGTGCTTCACCCCAGCCCCCTGGTTCCAGCTTAGATTTCTGTGACTCTTGGGAATCTTCAGGGCTGCCTGCAGGAAGCATATAGATTAGGCCAATTTTATTCCATGACTCATTGTGACCTTTTTAGGAAATTTTTCTTTAAAAAGGCTTCCGATAGCAGGCACTGTAATATGAAGTTTTTCTCACTTTTTTTTTTCTCACTCTTGATATCTTTGAACTGTGCATATTTCAGATGAGAGCCATGTCATTCAAATTTTTTTAATATTTTATTTTTTATAGTTGGACACAATACCTTTATTTTATTTATTTACTTTTATGTGGTGCTGAGGATTGAACCCAGGGCCTAACACGAGCTAGGCGAGCACTCTACCACTGAGCCACAACCCCAGCCCCTCGTTCAAATTTTTTAACACCAATTSTAATTTCAAATAATTAAAATTATAAGACAGTCTTTTGTCATTATTTGTAACATTCTCATATAAGAACATTGTAGTCACTCCTTTGAATTCAGGATCAGAGTAGTAAGAAGTTAAGTAAGGCAATTGCATTTCCATTCCCCACTAAGTTAGGTCATTATAGATATGCTTTATTATTTGGGTGTGGAGGGTGTCTCTGGATTACCCAGCATATTTCTAGTGATTTCAAAAATTATATTCTAAAGCTATGTTCCGGGCGTGGTGGTACACACCTCTGAGCCCAGCGGCTGGGGAGGTTGAGGCAGCAGGATCATCAGGATCATGGGTTCAAAGCCAGCCTCAGCAATGGCAAGGCGCTGAGCAACTCATTGAGACCCTGTCTCCAAATAAAATAGAAAATAGGGCTGGGATGTGGCTCAGTGGTTAAGTGCCCTTGAGTTCAATCCCCAGAACAAAAATAAATAAATAAATAAAGCTGATCTATTTGTTGTCCTGATGTGGTTAAAAGAAGAATGTGTTTTAAAGTATCATCACCAGTTTTATTTAAGATGTAAGATAAGTACATTGGCCATGCTTGAGTCTTTTATAGGACCACAGTCTGATCATTTTGAACCTGTATTCTCATCGTAGACAGATGTGATAGAACTTCACCTAGAATCTGCTAATCCCACACCCATTTCAGAAGCAGAGGCCCAAGGAATTTAAAAAAAAAAAAAAAATCCACAGTTTATTTTATGGTCTACTTCTTTCTTAACAAAAAGCATATCTGTAGGAGGTGGACATTCTGATATCTATTAGTGTTTCATTATATAATTTTTTTTAAGTCTTTATYTTTATTTATTGATATGTGGTGCTGAGGATCGAACCCAGCGCCTCACAYGTGTGAGGCGAGTGCTCTACCGCTGAGCCACAATCCCAGCCCTCATTATATAATTTTTAAAAGACTTCCTAGTTATGGATTTTAACAGTTTTGGTTTTGCTGCTTAACTTTATAACAATGTTAAAGAGCTCTTTTTTTTTTTTTTTTTTTTGATGGACCTTTATTTTATTTATTTGTATGTGGTGCTGAGAATCGAACCCAGACCTCACATGCTAGGCAAGCACACTACCACTGAGCCATCATCCCAGCCTCTAAAGAGCTAATTTTGTTGGTTGTCATATTCCAATAGGAGGTCTTCATAAGTTTTGTTTACATTGTTGGTCTTTATAAACTTCTGAATATTGTATTTCCGTCCGACTATGAATTATTTTTCCCCAGTGTGGTCCTTTGTTTTTTCTGACATAATCAATCACTTAGACATTTAAGAAAATCAAATAAGTGCTCCTGAAGGATCCATCATGAATGTTTGTTTTCTGTCATGAATGAACTAGAAGATTAGACCATTTACCTGGCAGGCATGTGGGTGGGGGACTGTGGGTGTTTGTGTTCCGCTATGGGACATGCTAGATAATGGGCAGATATTAGACRTGAATAATTTTCACCTGCCAGTATTGACTATGGATCTCCTTTTAATGTCATCCAATGTGTCTCTAGTTGGGAAAGTGTTCTTTTTGTGGGTGTAATTTCTGATGACTTACTCTGATGGAGTAACTTTTTTTCCCCAATCTTTTCAGTTTATAATCAAGAAGAAGACTCTTTCTATGTACACCATGATATACTTTTATCTGCATATCCTCTCAGTGTGGAATGGCTGAATTTTGATCCCAACCCAGATGATTCTACTGGTAACTGGAAAACTTAAGGTTGCCCTCTGGTCCCTAGCCCTATTGCATTTTCCTAGCTAATAAACTGTTTCCTGTATGTGTGTATTCAGAATTGTTGCTGATACGAAGTTGCTGTTATTTTCTGAAGTTATGGTTTGAAGTCCTTAGCACAGCAATGCTTAATTTCTTGGGGTATGTCTGTCTTCAGACTTTAGCTGCACTATAGCCTGAGGGACAAAGCTTGAAGCTTTTTAGACCATAGAACTATTGAGGTCCCATAAAAAACCAATATAAAGTGGTAAAATGTGTATGTTACCTGCTAGAGTTTAGTGGCATGATCTGTTTCAGAAACATGAGGTAAAACTAAAATGAAGAGGCTTGTCCCTAATTGGGTTCTCATCTTGGCCTTTTTGGCCACATCCGCACCCTATTATGTGCTCTGGTAGTACTTCTTAAAAGAGAGGTAAATGCTGACAATACTGACATCATTTCTCTTGTTTGTAAGGCCTTTTCACATTCATGAACCKACCTGACCCTCATCCTTACAGCAGCCCATGAGGAAGGAAGGRTGTTAGTGGGCCTCAGTTATCCCCACGTGTTGGTGAGGACACTGAAGCCAAACAAGGCACCTTCATGACTCAAATCGTAGTCCTAAAACCAGCAGCACCACATTGGTATCACCTGGGAGCTGTTAGAGACGCAGACTCAGGCCCGCTCAAGGTCACCTGAAATACAGTCTGGATTTTAACAACTTTTAGATGGTACATATAGAAGTTTGAGAGTACCTGCTCTAAGCCATTGCTCACTTAACCTACAGTGTAAAGTATTTGCTTAGAAGTTATTTTTGTCTTTTTTTTTTTTCTCTTTGTAATYACAAACACATTGTTTCTTCCTGCAGGAAATTACATTGCTGTGGGAAACATGACCCCTGTTATTGAAGTATGGGACCTTGATATAGTGGACTCTTTAGAGCCCGTCTTCACACTTGGGAGTAAACTTTCAAAAAAGAAGAAAAAGAAAGGAAAGAAGGTAAAAAGTTAATAAATACTTTAAAAACAAATGCAGAGAAGTTTATTGGAGAATATAAGAACATACTTTTTCAATCAGATACTCTTGTTGGAATAAGGTAGTTATAAAGGTATTATAATTTCTACTTTCAAAAACCCCATCCAGGGAAAACATTTGTTTGCATAAAACCTCCAGTGTCATATTATTTCCCACCCAAAATRTGGCTTAGGTTGTGATTCTTCCTCGTATATAATAACTATTCATACGAATATGCTAGTTTTGCACTTTTTAAAAGTTTCTATTTAGCCTCTTATGTGTTGTATTCTAAATATCCATGTATTAATTCCTGTTGTATTTTAAATTGTTAGGTTTGRGGGAGGCAAGTGGCAATATTGCTGTTTGTAGGATTAGTGCCTACATTAAGAGCTCATGTTTCTTCCCTGTAAAGAACACTTATCCTAGGTATCCATGGCAATAGGCAGTCAAAATGTTTAGTTCTTCAAGCAGGTGTGTGTTACAGCAGAACAATAATCTTATGATCTAAAGCATCTTGCAAATTAATATATCAATTTTATGGGGGGAGGCTTTTAATACAAAAAGTAACTAAAACAATTATTGCAGAGTTCCTCAACAGAAGGGCATACTGATGCTGTCCTTGACCTTTCATGGAACAAACTCATCAGGTAAAAAGAAATKGCACTTGCTTGACTGTCAGATCTGGCCCTGGTGACTTGACACCTGTCCCTGTCTCTGCTGCGTGTGTCGTGGGCCTCTGTTTCCACCCCGCTCGCTGCGGTGTCAGGGCAGCAGCTCTGCGTTCTGTCTGTGCATCCCCCACGTGACCCGCCGCTTCTCACCACGGAGCTTCCTGCATGTTGTGACGTGGCTCTCTCTGCTCCCCAACACTGGAAAGACGGCATGTAGCACGGTGCCAGTGGGACAGTGGGACAATGGGCTTTTTCACAGAAGACATTTTTCTTACTTCATTTTTCATATCTCTACTGCTTGCTTTTTTTTTTTTTCTTTAAAATATCCATAACATAAAATTACCACTTAAACCACTCTAAGTTTTGGTGACTTTTTGGACATTCACATTGCTGTGCAACCATCACCACATCCATCTCTAGAACTTTTTCATCTTCCCAAACTAACTCTGAACCCTTTAAACACTTCAACAATAACTCCCTGTGTCCCCTTTCTCCCAGCCTTGACAGCCACCCTTCCATTTTCTGTCTCTATGAATATGATTATTCTAAACACCTCACATGAACATACAGTATTTGTCTTTTTGAAACTGGCTTACTTCRCTCAGCATAAAGTCTTCCAGGTTCATACATGTTGTTATTCAAGTCAGTTTCCTTCTTTAAGGCTGAGTTATATTCCATTGTGTGTTAATACTACATTTGTTAATCCATTCATCTGCAGACTTTTGGGTTGCTTCCATCTTTTTGCTATTGCAAATAATRCTGCTGTGAATGTAGATATACAGAATCTCAAGTCCCTGCTTTCAGTGCATTTGGACATGTCCCCAGAAGTATTGCTAGATCATATCATAGTTCTAATTTTTTGAGGAACTACCATACCATTCCATAGCAGTTACACCATATTATATTCCTACCAGCGGTGCACATGGAGWCCAGTTTCTCTCTTTCCTTCCAACATTTATTTTCTATTTTTTAAAAGTACTTTTCTATTTTTATTTTCTATTTTTTGATACTAAGAAGTATGAAGTTTGTTTTTTTGTTTGTTTGTTTGTTTTTGAGAAAGGGTCTCACTTGAACTGCCTGGGCTGACCTCAGACTTGTGCTTCTCCTGCCTCAGCCTCTTGAGTCCCTGGGAGTATAGGCATGTGCCACCATGCCTGACCTTCGTTGTGGTTCTGATTTGTGGTTCTCAAGGATTAGTGATATTGAGCATCTTTTGGTCACTGTATTTAATCTTCCTTGTAAGAAATGTCTATTCAAGTCCTTTGTCTGTCTTCTGAGTTGTTTGAGTTCTTTACATATTCTGGACATTAATGCCTAATCAGAAATATTGTCTTCAGTTCTGTGGGTTATCTTTTTGTTTTCTTTATAGAATACTTTCCAGCACAAGTGTTTCATGTCAGTGATGTCCAGCTTATTTTTGTTTGTGCTTTTGGTGCTGTATGTAAAAAACCATTGCCTAACCTGGCATCATGAAGGTTCATACCTGTGCTCTCAGAAGAACACTTCTGAGAGTTTCATAGCATTAGCTCTTAACACTTAAACTTGTGGTCCAYTTTGAGTTATTCTTTCATTTGTGATGTGAGGTGTCGGGGCCTAACTTTTGAATGCGGATATGCGTTGTCCCTGATCCACATGTTGAAAAGACCATTCTTTCCCCATTGAGCATTAATTATCTTGTCACTTTTGTCAAAAATTCTATCCTGTTAATGCATAGATCTGTCCAAATGTCAGTAACAGACCACCGTAACTTTTTAAGTTTTGAAATCTGGAAGTATGAGTTTCCCAACTTTGCTCTTAAGATTTTTTGGGTTATTATGGGTTATTATTTGCATTTTCCCATGAATTTTAAAATCAGTTTGTTACTTTCTGCAAAAAAAAAAAAAGTCAGCTGGGATTTTGATTTTGAAAGGGACTGATGTGATTCATTCTGTAGATCAGCTTATAGCTCAGTCGGTCGATGCCCTGTTTCCATCTTACCAATATTCAGTCTGYAGTACAGGAGCAGGGGATCTTCTGTGTAATTAGACTGGCTTTCATTTCTTAGGATAATCTTTGGTAGTTTGCAGTATATTGTTAGTTGATGGTATATAAATTGCATTTCTTTTGTTAAACTTATTCTTATTTTATTCATTTTGATGCTATTTAAATTGATTCCTTTTCTTAATTCAGTGCTCTGATTTTTAGAAGATCACATCTAATTTATGTGTTCCCTGTCTCAGAAATGTGCTGGCAAGTGCGTCAGCTGACAGCACAGTAATTTTGTGGGATATGTCCGTGGGGAAACCAGCAGCTAGCCTCGCTGTGCACACAGACAAGGTATGGTGACTGAGTGAATGAAGAGGATTCTCAAAAATCTGGGGCATTTACATGTTTTTTGGTTTACAAAGTGCTTCACTGTTATCTCATGGGATCTTCACAAAGCTCTCTGCAGCAGGTATAATGTCATCTCAGAGATGTAGAAATGGATCCAGGAAGGTATAGTGACTGGGAATATTAGTGCCCTATAACATGTTTACAGAGGATCCTAAAAGGACTGGGATTTCAGTCAGCATGATAGAACAGCATGTGACAGATCATGACTGCACTGGGCTCTGTAGGACTTTGAAGCCAGTATAGTTGCCAGATACATTGGACCATTCACCCTTTTTCTTCTGAATATCTTTTAACATTTAAGGGGGACACACACACACATACACATTCTCATATATAACAAACGTTTTGGGAATACTACATTATATCCTTAAGTGCTGGCCTTTATTTGGGAATATAGTTTGCCAAACATTTGTTCCCTTTTTTGGCACCAGGAATTGAACTCAGGGCACTTTACCACTGAGCCACATCCCCAGCCCTTTTTTAATTTTTTATTTTGAGACAGTCTTGCTAAGTTGCTTAGGGCCTTGCTGAGTTGCTAAAGCTGGCCTTTAACTTGTGATCCTCCTAACTCAGCCTCCCAAGCCACCGGGATTCAGGTGTGCACCATGAAGTCMAGCCACAGATTTATGTTTCTTTATACACTACTAATTTTGAAGTGAATAATTTATAGAAATCAGTTCTTACACGTTAGGTAATGGTACCAAAAATAAAGACAGATACACAAATCTCTTCATTTATCTTTCCTCCCCTTAGGTCCAGACTCTGCAGTTTCATCCATTTGAAGCACAGACTCTAATTTCTGGATCATATGATAAGTAAGAAAGCACTTCAAGAATTATTGCTGCTGTTTTTATCCTCTTGAACTAATTCAAAAAGTATCCCTTGATACCCAGACTGAATGTACATACTAGTGAGGCGCCTACTTTCCTTTTCATTATGGCCCTTCCAGTCTAAGGATGTGTGGTTTTATCATAATAATGTAGCTATAGGAGTTTGTAACTTCAATTTTTTGAGCGTGTACAGGTTAGCCATTATTATGAAACAGACATCCCCAAATTCAGTTACTTTCCATAATAACCATTTACCCTTTCTGCCTGTGTGAGGCGGGACAGTGTGGGCTAAAGTCAGCTGGCCACTCTGCCTGCAGTAGGCTAGGCCAGCAGGCTAACTCACACGCGTTCTCATGATGAGGTTGGACAAACGAGATACCAAGGCCTCTGAAGATGTAGGTTGAGAACTAGTGCCCTGTCTTGTTTTCTTGACCAAAATAGATTACATGGAGTGGGGGATGTTCACTGCCTTTATGAGGAATGCCCACATCACGGGCAGAATTCATGGAAGAGGGAGGTTGGGGACTGAGAGACCCTGCAGGCAACCACAGGAGCCTCCAGTCACGTGCTCYTTTGTGCAGACTGGGTCTGAAGGTGGGAAGTGCAGCAGTAGAATCACCAACATATTTGATTCCTTACCTTTGAAGAGTGGTACCTTGACATTTCTTAGGTGTCCTTCACTCAAAATTACAAAAGGATATCCCTTGGCTCCCCCAGTACAGTAACCTGATTGGGAAGAGCATCTGCAGCTAAGACATGAGTTATGTGGCTCTGGGCTCTACCCAGGAAAGGGTATTTTAGAAATCGTCCTGAACTTTTGAAAGTAGGATTCATCTGGTAAGTGTTATGAAGTAAAGCCACCGTTATATCAGAGCCACCAGTACCTTCAAGCGGCAAGACCAGATGTATGGTCTTGCCACTTGAAGGTACATATTAGGGAAAATCAACTCATTTTTTTCCTACTTTTAGAACCTTAAAACAGGCTTTAAATAATGGGCTTTTGACTTCACACTCTGTTCTGTTAACCATGTTATTAAAAGTCAATATCCGCTAGGCATGATAGTTGCACACCTGTCCCCAGCTGAGCAAGGAGAATGTCAAGTTCAGGCTAGCCTGGGCAATGTAGTGAGGCTCTGTCTTGAGAAGTAAATAAATTAAAATACTAATCTAAGAACTCTTCAAACTCTAACTACCTAAATGTGTCCAGGTCAGTGGCTCTGTATGACTGCCGAAGTCCAGACGAAAGCCATCGGATGTGGCGATTCAGTGGGCAGATTGAGAGAGTGACTTGGAATCACTTTTCACCTTGTCATTTTTTGGTAAGAATGTGAATGTTACTGTTGTGATTTTCTAGGTTTCTAACAGCTTATTTTCCCTAATCCTATTGCAGAGAGATTCTCTGAAAATCTTTTTCTGTGTTAACTGTGAAGGAAGTGTTTCAGGTTGAAAAAACAAGTTTGGGGTTGTTTTTGTTTGTTTTAAACAAGAGAATGGCTCAGCCACAAAAGCATTAGTGCACATGTGAATGATTTTGCTAATTGCCAACCACTCAAGAGTGTACCRCATCTTATTTTTGCTTACTGATTTTGATCACTTTTTTAGTGGGTTTTTTTTAATATCAGGCATAGTTAATATTCCTTATTTTTAATGGTAAAATCAGTCCAAGAAGATATTCTTTACTTATTCATACTTAAATGGAGTTCCAGTGATGAGAATGCTAGCAGCTTTCATTTATAACCCTGTATCCCAAATAGGAAAAAAGTATAAGACCCTTCAATAAACACCCTTACTATATGAGGGAGGACAGTTTTCCACATAACATCCAGTGATTCCACCAACATTTGCATCCAGGATAAATAAAATCCCAACTTTCCTCCATAAGGGAATATTAATTAAGTTGTGATACCTTCATGTTTCCCAATTTCCCGAAATAATGAAAAGGAAGTAAAGTGTTTTAAAGAGCCACTGGGAGGCTGAGGCAGGAAGGTTGCAATTTTGAGACCAGCCTGGGCAATATAATGAGACCCCATCTCAAATAAGTACTGTTTTAAAAAGTAACTTTCTTGGGGCTGGGGTGTAGCTCAGTGGTAGAGCACTTGCCTAGCATGCATGAGGCACTGGGTTCAATCYTCAGCACCACATAAAAATAAACAAATAAAATAAAGGTATTCTATCCATCTACAACTACAAAAACAATTTAAAAAAAATAACTTTCTTAAAAGTTGTGGACACTTTTAATAAGTTTCCTGAAGTARTAATTCTGAGAATCGTCTCAACTCTGCACCTTGAGTACATGCAGATCCCAGCTAAGCTGCCTGCCTGAAGCCAGATGTTAGTTACCAGGAGTGAGGCCACAGCTGTATTGGATGCTGTATTGTACACTGGCCTTCAACAGTCAGGCCCAGATCGTTCCTGAGGTTATTTGCTGGCAGATGATCATAGATGCTAAAGTCACAAAAATGTAGGGAAGTGAGAGGTGATAAAATGTTCACCTCCTTCCTCTTCAGTTTTTGGCCCTGTCTCCTGCCTTCAAGACTTCCTCAATTGTCCATCCTCCTTTCCTCCCATACTAGCTGGCCCTTGGCCTGTATATAGGCTTGGTTTCTCACCCAGTCTTTTTTTTTTTTTTTTTTTATCTGTTTATTTTTACTTTTTAATGTGGCTGCTAGAAAATTTTAAATTACATACATGGCTTAACATTATTTTTATATCATAGCAGTGCAATAGGATAAATATGTTAATATCAACCCCACATTAAATTTTATGTTATAATGACATTAGAAATAACATCTAATATAGTCTCACAAATTTCCCAAGTTATCACACACACCTGTACTCTTATAAACAAAACCAAAAAAGATTATAATCGTCTTCATCATCATCTTTATACTAGCACCTGCAGTACACTTAGGTCTGAGTCTACAAATGCCCGCTCTTGACTGAGTACCTGTTCCTCCATTTCCTCCTTGCTGGAGAGAGCAGCAGCCCACCTGGTTTGCCTTTCCGCCCTACCTGTTGAACCGCTCTGCCACCATACTGACCCACTTTCTTCAGAAGCCATTTCCTTTGTTTGCCTGACCTCTAGTCCTGATTCTGTGGGCTCCTCCCCAGCTGTACTTTGAGTAACCTCTGCTCCCAGCCCTGCTTTTAGACTTACACTCAAGGTCTAGCTCTCTGCCCTGATGGGTGTGACTGACCCCTCTGTGCTCCCACAGCTCTGTCACCATTCCATCCACTCACCAGAGCTTTGTGTTCCCGACTCACTGCCATGGGGTCAGTGGAGTGTACCTAGTCCATGTGGGTATAAACTGGCTCAGCTAAAAGGAAGTTCTTTGTGTCCATGTTAATTCTCCACAGGTGAGATATGAGACYGATTTCCACTGTGATTTATGTTACTTAACCATTGCTAATTTTATTGGCATCCTCTTTACTCTTTGCAGGCCAGTACAGATGATGGCTTTGTATACAATTTGGATGCACGTTCAGATAAGCCAGTTTTTACACTCAATGCACACAATGATGAAATCTCTGGTGAGCAAGAATATTGTCTTTAATTTCCATAAACTCAGGATGAAGTAAATCTGAATTTCAAAGTTAGACTCTCTGAACTAATCGTTWTCTTCCTTTAGGTCTTGATCTCAGCAGTCAAATCAAGGGCTGTCTTGTAACAGCTTCAGCAGACAAATATGTGAAGATTTGGGACATATTGGGAGATAGGCCAAGTCTGGTTCATTCCAGGGACATGAAAATGGTAAGAATTTCCTGGGCATCTTTATTTCCTGTTACTCTGATTCTTGCTTATCTTTTTCTTGGAATCACTGCATTAAAGAATGTATTGAAGTTAATTTTGAGCTTTAAGTTTTCTAGAAATTATATGACTTAGGAAAGTTCTGGAAATTCAGTGATTATTTTGGTTCCCTTTCTAATTCACATGATTATCAGTCACTTAGTAAGACCAAAAAGGATGGAGAGAGGACACAGACAAGTGAAGTGGCTATTATTTTACCCTAAAATCAGGAATCTTTGACCTTAAGGCAGCAGAGCTCTTGKCGTGAATGTATTCTTCTCTCACTACCTCGTCACATAACTAGCTCTGAATGCACTGAAGTTGATACGTAGTAGTAAAGACTGMTGAAATAACCAGTATTCTTTGAACAAATATTAAGCACATCCCATGTGCAAGGCACTGTTATTTAAATTAGACTACATAGAACACTACATGGCTATTAGAAATCGTGTGTGTGTGGGTATTAACTAATAGTAAGGCAGGTTTCATAAAATCACTTCAAGTATATTTTATAGTATCATGCATATTTCCAAATGCCTGATTATTTAAGTCTCTATATTTAAGTTAAGTATATTACATCCCAGAATATGAAGTTGCTGTCCTCCTATTTTTCTTATTCATATTTCCTATAACGCATATGTATTATCTAGTATTATGAATGTAAAAGTGAAAACATCACAAATTTAAAAATAACTTGAGGGGCTGGGGATGTGGCCCRGGTTCGATCCTCAGCACCACATACAAACAAAGATGTTGTGTCCGCCAAGAACTAAAAAATAAAATAAAAATAACTTGAGGGCGAGGGATGTACCTTGGTGGTTGAACAAGTGAGGCCCATTGATGCAAAGGAAAAAAAATGTAAGTGACCTGTGGTATTAGTTTCGTTGTTTGAAAGGAGAGCTTCTGGGTCTTAGCGGATTCGATGTCTTAGGAAATCACCCCTAGGATAACGAAGAGACAGGTGGCTAGGGCGAGCGCCCGCCTCCACGGCATGACTTCCTGCTGCACCCTTCCTGCTCTGACAGGCAGCACCCCTCCCCTCAGGGCTGCAGGCCACCTTTGTGGTAGTGATGTGGCTGTACCTGCTCACACTGTGGGACCTTAGAGAGACAAGAGCTCCACTGACATGCTTTTCTTTCTCCCTAGGGAGTTCTCTTCTGTTCTTCATGCTGTCCTGATCTGCCATTCATTTACGCCTTTGGAGGTCAGAAAGAAGGGCTTCGAGTCTGGGATATAAGCACCGTCTCTTCAGGTAAGAATCTGCAGTTTCTCACTCTGAGCTCTGTGAGTACCAACCCAGGGTGCGGCTGGAACCCATGAGGGAGATTGAGTGTCATCCTTGGTGTGGTCTCCTTTGGAATGTTCATGCCTACAAATACATTTGTTGTCACACTTTTTAGTTTTGTTTTCCTAGGGTTTTGAGTGGGGGGTTGTTTTTGGGGGGAACTATGTATTGAACCCAGGGGTTCTTTACCACTGAATAATCCCCAGCCCTTTTATTTTTTGAGACAGGGTCTGCCTAAGTTGCCTAGGCTGATCTTGAATTTGTAATCCTCCTTCCTTCCTCAGCCCCACAAGTAGCTTGGATTTCAGACATGCAGCACTGTCCCCGACTCAAATGTAGAATTTTTTTTTTTTTTTTTGACCAGGGATTGACCCCAGGGGTGCTCTACATAGAGCCACATCCGCTGACCTTGAATTTAGGATCCTCCTGCCTAGATGTGCATTACCACACTCAGCTCATATGTAGATAATTTTTTAACTATTTTAAAACCAGAAGATCTGGGAAAGCTGGAAGGAAATGTAGCATGGTCTACCAATGTGACTAAATCTGCTCTTTTCTCAAGTACTATCTGTAAGATTGTTTTCCTAAAGAGACCAGTCCCTGTCCTTCAGGAGATCCTATTTGCTTTTTTTTATTATTCTGTGTTCTAGACACGTAGAGATACTGTGTCCCCACTATATGATTCCCGAATCTTCCTTTCCATGCAGAAGGATCCTGAGATTTCTCTCCGGGTTATTCTGATAAGAATTTACGTTTAAGGAGTCCTAAATGCCAAAAGTTCTCAACTGGTCATGATACAGAAAAAGAGGAAAGAAAACAGGAAACAATGAGAAGTAGAATAAGGGAAGGACAGTCACTGTTAGAAGGGATSGGACAGCCATTATCCAAACATTCTAGGTTAATACAAGGCAAGCTGAAGTAAAGTACAAAAAATATTTTTTAAAAAAACCAAACTATTTGCTTTAAAGTTAAAGCATATTACCTTTAACTTCTAAGTTATTTACTTACTTTCTCATTTACTAAGTTGCCCTGCCACACACCCAGGTACTAAGAATTAAACCCAGGGGTGAGCTACATCTGCAGCCATTTTTGTTGACATTGATTTTTGATGCTGAGGATCAATCCCAGGGACTTGCACATGTGAGGCAAGTGCTCTACCACAACTATATCCCCAGCCCTTCCCCACCTTTTTTTTTTTTTTTTTTTTTTTTTTTAGAGACAGGATCTTGCTAAGTTGCTGAGGCTGGCCTCAAACTGGCAATCCTCCTGCCTTAGCCCCCAACAGCTGGGATTATAGGAATGTACCACCACACCAAGCATAGGGTTGAAATTCTGTTATGAAAATATCTTCAGTACTTTCTAGCCGGGCACAGTGGCTCACACTGAAATTCAGCCTACTCAGGAGGTTGTGGCAGGCAKGGAGGGAGGGGATATCCACCCAAAACAGGATTTTATTGCTTATTTCTATATCTTAGTCTCTTTTTGTATTATWGACTTAATTTCCTGATCTGGTGGTTTCTTAACTGTTGATTTGTGTTTTAGTAAACGAAGCATTTGGAAGRCGAGAGAGGCTCGTTCTCAGCAATGCAAGAAGCTCATCTATTAGTGGCCCTTTTGGGAGCAGGAGTTCACACACACCAATGGAGTCTTAATGAACATCATAAAATTGCCTSGTTTGCCTACTTTAACTCAGTGTTTTAAAAAGATGGCCTCAAAATGTTCCACATTGTGGGGGTTCAGCTCAGTGGCAGAGCGCCGCCTAGCATGCGCAAGGCCCTGAGTTCAGTCTCAGCCCTGAAAAAGAAAAGGAAAAAAAATGTTCCACATGCAGCTAGAGACATGTAGTGATGGAAACAAGATTGGTTGCCTACTGCCTCACGTCCCTTTGTGCAGCTGTAGTGGCAATACAGAGCAGGTCTTTGTGCTTGCCTCCAGGTGGGTGGTGTATGGGGTTATTGTTGGATTTCTTGAAAATGATAATAAAAAAGGTTTTTAAGAACTTATTCCCTTAGGGAAGAATGAAGGAACTTTGGTTTGTATAGAGGAGAGAGGTGGGGTTGTGGGGACGGGAAGGACAGTAGAATGAGACACATTACCACCCTACATACATGTAGGATTACATTAATGGAGTGACTCTGCACCATGTACAGCATGTCAGAATGCATTATACTGTAAAGTAAATTAAGTTTAAAAACACAAAAAACTAATTCCTTAAACATGACATCTGTCGCAGGAAATCTAGGTTAGTGAATTAGGTAGTAACTTACGAGTTCTGTGGCTGTTAAGTCAGGATGTGCTGGGTTGCCCAAGGCTGGCTCAAGTGATCCTCCTGCCTYGGTCTCTTGAGTAGCTGGGGTTTCAGGCACACACCAGGCCTCGAATTTTAAGAGGGAAAAAGCCTATGGTTTTAACAGATGATGATCTAGGCCTGGAAAGGCAGTGATTTGGCCAAGATCACAGAGGCAGACATCCCAGAGACTCCACTTCTCTGACTATTCTTGATTGAATGCTCATGACTTTAAAATGTTCTCAGTCCTAAAGCAGCGTGCCATTTTTTCCAGAATGTCCAAGAGAAGAGGCAGACTGTTTATTCTCAGATGTTGAAGGCCCTTTAGTCTCTGTGCCTTGTGCTGTACAAGGGAAGAGTCCTTGTGAATAGGAAAGGTTTCTTTGCTCTCCAACCAGTGGAACAGTTCTTATTACAGACTCTCTTCAAGTGTGGATGCTCAGAGGCAGCAGAAATCAATTTGATTTATGAGATCCAACCCTAACTTGGTAGAGCTGTAGTCAGTGAATCACTGTCRTCTCCTGTGTAACTTACGAAGGTGACGTGAATGTMATTCCAGTTTCAGACACTGGTATGAAGTTGTTGCAACTTGGATTCACCAWAACACCTCTGGAATAGCAGATTGAAGGCTGGATTAACTATTTCTTTGTTTGATTTGGCTTTTAATCCAATATCAAAACAAACCCTAGATTATTCAAAGTTAATGAGAGCAATAAAAAATAATGAGATTTTCAATAATAAATTCCCAACAACAAAAAAGCCCAGAACTAATGGCTTCACTGCTGAGTTTTACCAGAATTGAAGGGGAAGGAACTCTTTACAAACTCACTCTGTGAGGCCAGCAGTACCATAAAAAAAACTGACAAGGATACATTAAAAAAACTGTAGACCAATATGTCTGACGAACTTGGATGCAAAAGCATTCAGAACATTAGGAGACAATTCAAGTGCACATCAAAGTGGTCGTCAACATAAAGGTGGTATTATTCCAGGGATGAAGGCTGGTTGAACATATGCAAATCCTTAAAAGGAATACATTACATAAATAGAATGCAGGATTAAAAATCATATCAATAGATGTAGAAAAAGCATTTCATAAAACTCAGCAAGCCTTGTGATAAGACCCTGAACAAATTAGATATGGAAGGATCCTACCTCAATGTAAYAAAGGCTGCATTTGACAGGCTCCCAGCCAACAGCATATTGAAGGGGGTGGGGTGCRGAGTCTGTTTCCTCTAAGGACAAGATAAGGGTGTCTACTCTCACCACTCTGAATACAGTACGAGAACTAGGCAAGTGGAGGCTATAGATAAGGAGGAAGTCAAATTATCTCTGCTAATGCTAAGATTCCATATACACAAAAGACAGAAAAATGAATTTAGTGAAGCAGCAGGATACAAAATCAGTGGTTTTTCTACACACCAAGAAAGCAGTCCCAATCACAGTAGCCACACAAAAATGCCTAATAAACAAAGTGACAGGCCTCTACAGTGAAAACGACAAAACACTGATAAAAGAAATTATAAATATTGTTAAGATGTCCATACTACCTAAAGCAATCAACAGATTGAGTACAATTCGCATCAAAATAGCAATGAAATTCTTCAGAGAACTAGGAAAAAAACAATCCTAGAATTCATGTGGAAGCACAGAAGACCTCAGGTAGCCAAAGCAATGGGCAGAAAGCAAACTGGAGGCATCCCAATACCCGATTTGAGAGACACCACAGAGCCACGCTGCCAATAGAACCAGACAGTGGGACAGTAGAGAGAACCCAGAGAGGAACCCTCACATCTCCAGCCAACTGATCTGATGGCCAAAAACAATGGAGAAAGTTCAGCCTCTCCAATGAGTGGTGCTTGGAGAACCAATATCCACATGCAGAAAGGCAAAACGTGGCCCCACTCTCACCCTCTGTGACAGTCAAAACAGATCAAAGACCTCATGTAAGATCTGAAATTACTGTAGGAAAGTGGGAAACACGATATTGGTACAGTGATTTTCTACAGGATTCTAAAAGCAAAGAAAACAAAATTGGTAATAGGATTTGTCAAACTAAAAAACTGTACAAGAAAGGGAACAGCAAAGAAGCAATCTAAAGAATAAAAAAAATATTTGCCAGCTATTCCTATGGCAGGGTTATATCATGCACATATATAAATAAAGAACAAAAAAGCAAATAATCCAGTTTTAAAATGGGCAAATGATTTCTCAAAAGATACATATATGAAAAATGTTCAATATCAGTAGCCATCAGGAAAATGTAAATCAAAACTACAATAAGATACAATTTCAGCCCAGTTAGAATGGCTGTAATCAAARAMCAAGWGGTGGTGAGGATGTGGAGAAAAAGTAATTCTTAAAAACAATTGGTGGGGGGCTGGGGATGTGGCTCAAGCGGTAGCGCCTTCGCCTGGCATGCGTGCGGCCCGGKTTCGATCCTCAGCACCACATACCAACAAAGATGTTGTGTCCGCCGAGAACTAAGGAAAAAATAAATAAATGTTAAAATTCAAAAAAAAAAAACACAATTGGTGGGATTGTAAATAATTGCAGGCGCTAAGGAAAGCAATGTGGAAGTTCCTCAGAATGCTAAAAATAAGCTGTGTGCACTGGTGCATGCCTATAATCACAGCAACTCAGGAGGCTGAGGCAGGAGGATCATAAGTTTGAGGCCAGCCACAGCAACTTAGCAAGACCCTATCACAAAAAATACAAAAAAGAGCTCCAAGGTAAAGCATCCTTGGGTTCAATCCCCAATCCAAAAAATAAAAGAGCTAAAAATATGGSCTGAGGTTGTGGCTCAGCAGTAGAGTGTTCGCCTCACATATGTGAGGCCCTGGGTTCAATCCTCAGCACCACGTAAAAATAAATAAGTGAAATAAAGCTATTGTGTCCAACCACAACTAAAAAATAAATATAAAAAAGCTAAAAATAATGATCTAAACCCACTCCTGTGTATATATCCCAAAGAAATGAAATCTGCATACAAGAAAAAAAAAAGCTACATGCCCATTTTTATTATTGCACTATCCACAAAAGCCAAGATTTGGACTGGATGTAACTGCCTGTCAACAGAAGAATGGACAAGAAAAATTTTATATATACATGTGTGCGCGCACAGTAAAATTCTGTCATTTGCAGCATAACAGATGGAACTGGAGGATATCGTCTTAAGTGAATAAGCAACAGAAATAAAAGTTTTCATGAGGAAACTAAAGGAGAAAAGTTGACCTGAAAGTAGAATAGTGACTATTATGGACCAGGAAATTTCTGGCAGGCAGGAGTGGATATGAGCAATGCACATTGTGTACATGTAAGGAAATACTACAGTGAATCTCATTAATATGTACAGTTAATGTGTTAATAAAATAATAAAAATGACATCTAGAGGGGGATAGATCTCTGATCAGTTTAAAATCAGTAGTTTATTTTTTCTCAAAATCTGCTGTGTTCTGTAAAGAATAATAGCTTTTGGCCAGGCACAGTGGGGCACAACTGTAACCCTAGATACTCAGGAGGCTGAGGGAAGGATCACAAGTTTGAGGCCAGCTAGGCAACTTAGCAAGACCCATCTCAAAAGGGGCTAGGAGGGATTGGGGATGTAGCCCAGTGCTTGCCTAACATGTGTGAGACACTGGGTTAGATCCTCAGCCACATAAAAATAAATAAATAAAGGTATTATGTCCATCTATAACTAAAAATATGTATTAAAAGGTGGGGTGGTGGTGCTGGGATATAGCTCAGTGGTACAGTGCCCTGGGTTCAATTCCTAGTGCCTAAAAGAAAGAAAAAAAAAACTTTTTAAAAAAATGCATCCTGGGCCTCATGTTCTTAGGAAAAAATAAATACATAAAGAATTTTCAATGTTTCATGTAGACATATGAATCAGCCTAAGTACATGTACAATAAAAATTCCCAATATCAAAAATTTTTAGTAGTAAAATAGGATGGACACTTTTCTTTTCAATTTGAAATCACTAGGCCTGCTGAATGCAAAGCRGGGAGTGTGTTCAGAGCCAAGAGGGTGCCCTGAAGCTACTTGTTAGAGCACATTTGGACATGGGGACCAGAGCACTGGCTAGGTGTGCAGTGCAGGCKGTGGGGGAGACCCCCGAGTACACCAGAACAGCAGCAGCACACCCCGGGGATTYAAAAGGAGGCTCCGCTGCACCACGYGGACTGAGGCGAGAGTTCCTGTCACTTCCTACCATGGGAATGAATTGCACTGAAGTGCAATCCAAGCCTGAAGAATTGTGGCCTAGAGAGGATGCCTTCCTGGCCTGAAAAATGGGGGAAGGAGCATTGTTTTTATCACTGGTGGTGGTTGTGATTGGTTTTTCATCAGGTAGGATATGTAGTGCTTAGGGTCAAGCATATCTGTCAAAGTAAAAAACCAAT